GAATACGCAGATGACATAGTCCTGTTTGGTGAAGACGCTGACAAAATGCAGAGTCTTCTGGTAGCACTAAGCAACAATGCCAGAATGTTTGGGATGCGCTTCTCTCCCTCTAAATGCAAGTTGTTGCTTCAGGACTGGTCTGCGTCAACACCTGAACTAAGGATAGGGAGTGAAGTAGTCGAACGCGTTGACAACTTCACTTATCTTGGAAGTCTGATCAGCCCTAATGGGTTGGTGTCTGACGAAATCTCAGCACGGATTCGAAAAGCTCGTTTGGCTTTTGCCAACTTACGTCACCTTTGGCGAAGGCGAGATATCCGTCTATCAATAAAAGGACGAGTATACTGCGCGGCAGTCCGTTCTGTTTTAATTTACGGCAGCGAAACATGGCCATTAAGAGTAGAAGACACTCGTAAGCTACTAGTATTTGACCACAGATGCCTTAGAAATATTGCTGGCATCTGCTGGGATCACCGGGTAAGTAATAGTGAGGTTAGACGCAGGGTATTAGGGAATGATGGTAAATCAGTTGATGAGGTTATGAATCTTCATCGACTGAGATGGTTGGGCCACGTGTTACGTATGCCTGAACACCGATTACCACGTGCAATGCTAACCGGTGTAGGGGATGGTTGGAAGAAAGTTAGGGGCGGCCAAACCAAAACGTGGCATCAGTGCTTGAAGTCACTAACTTCTAGTCTGAGCCATGTTGGTAGATGCAGACTACTTGGTTGGGGTCCGCGTGACTTTCGTAACCAATGGTTGGAGACTCTTGGTGACATGGCTCAGAATCGATCACAATGGCGTCGGTGTATACACTCTCTGTCTTCCCTTAAACTAAGAGATTAAAATCACTTCATATCTTTCTTTCTACGAACTAATTCTTTCTTCCTATACTATATCCTTATTGCAATCTTTCTCCTATATATTACCACCTTTGACCTAACCACTCCTATGAATCCTGTGTTCATCTTGCTGTGCTAATGAAGTATGGCAACCTGGACCGATGCATATATGTACCTGGTCCTACGTTGTAGCTGACTGAGAGACAATTTGCGACTCTCGTACTTTCTATTAACCATTGCTAATGGAACAAGCATACTGGTGAGATCCTTCTGGGTTATTTTACTGCATTCAATAAATTCCAGGCTATCACATTGTTGAAAAATCGTGGTGTATATGCAGTATATCTGACTACGGATTGCAATAACGAAGGACCCACATAGTCGAAAAAAACATCTAACGTAGTCTGAGTTCCTTGTAACAAAAAGTGACTGATTTTTAAAAAAATAGTATTTCAGTCCATGTTTTAGGAATGACACGAAAACCACCTCGCGGTACATTCTCGGTTGCGTCCTTTATTTCTACTTCTTAGCACGATAATCAATGAAAAATACCCTACCTTTAAATAAGAAGACCCAGAAGCCCGGTTGATTTCTGAAATACCAGAGTATTCAGGTACATAATTTATATCCTTTCACAAAGGAGTCGGCACTGAATTTTACTGTATGGTCGTTCTAATCGGTAGAAATGATCTTAATCTCAGGATGTGTTCAGATTGCAATGGTCACCTAACTAACATTACGTAGAAGACGATCTTCAGCCACTATTAAAGTGCGAGCTCAAAATGAAAAAGTAATAGTGTTTTTAAGAACATATCTCGGGATTTGTCCCACACAGTAGGTTATTCGTCTTTTTCAAGTCTAAAGTAGTAAACAGAGACCCATTAGAAATCTAAGTATGTTAAGCACTCAATTTACATCGGGTCAAGACTAGTTAAGCTAATAAAGAAAACTCCTATCTAATCCTTTTCTTAATCACCTAATGAGAATGTAAGCAGTGAAGCTACATCGAATAGCGCCAATCCCAAAACAAGGAATATCACACAAACTGACAACTGATTTAGAGCCAATTCGTCATACTCACAACCTAATAAACGAGTAATCCACTAGGCGATACTAATCTTCATAAGTATTCACAAGCATATCACTGATTCCTAAACTAATCATGATATCTACATATTGTTAGAATCTTGTAATTAAACGATTTGCCTTAAAGATATTGGTACAAAGAGGTACCAAACACATATGCGCCACACAAATCTCATTTGATATGTGTGAGGGCTGATACTGCCTGAGTGCCCAAACCGAAGCAGGTGGTTTTCTTAGGGGGCCACACCTGGAGCCTTCGACCTGAAGGTTTGATCCACAAGGCAGTAGGCAACGTCAGGTAATTCAGTCCCATGGTAGTCGGTGACCAACGATTGGTTCATACACCATTTGTTCCTTTAGGATACTGGGGCCCATTTGCACAATTGGTTTGGTGTCAAAGTTTCCCAACACCCCTAGGTGGACCCTCCACGCCCACCAAACCGGTTAAAGTGCCGGACATTCGCTTTTCGTCCTCTCAATTTCGTAAACAACACCCCCGCCACGAGAAGGCAGTGAGTAGGACTTCCCTAGCAGAGGCTATATACGCGTGGCCATGTGAGAGCATTTGGAGAGGGAGAGCGGACTCTCCCCACTCTCGGCCGTACCAGGGCCTTAAAGAATACAACACTTGATGCGTTGGCGAAGGTAAATGGTGATTGGTTGGTGTTTCAGGACAATTCATTATTTATTTATTTGAACACATATATATTGGCACAGGAGTGCGCCAAATATATATGCGCCACACAAAACAATGAGAATTTAAGAAGAAAAAAACGTGGGGAACGTAAAAAAAAAACAATAAACGAAGAGATTGGTGTAAGGTAGTGTGATAATAATAGTAATAGTAGGGGAACGATTGTTAGCCTTTGAAAAGTATGGCGGCGTTCTAACATTTGGCGGAGGGTGAAGATATGATCAATACATCCTCGACCAGAACGAAACCCAGCCTGCTCCTTGCGAGTCAATCTTTCTCCGGTTTTGAACAACCTACGAAGTATGACGGAAGCCAATAGCTTGGACGCAATCGGAAGTAGACTTATCCCCCGATAGTTGTTACAGGAACGACGTGAACCCTTTTTAAAGATAGGGACAACTATCGACTCATTCCATGACGTTGGCACACTCTCTAGTTCCCAAACCTTTGTAAACAACGTCGTCAATTCCTTAGTCAAAAAGTCACCACCATCTTTAAAAAGAGCCGGAGGTAAGTCATCTGGGCCAGGTGATTTGTAACGCTTCAAGAGTTGGAGTTCCTTGCGGACTTCCTCCTCGTTTGGTGGATCAGTCGTCACCGGCCATGGAGGGCAGGACAGTCTGACCGATGTTGCCGGAGCAGCAGGCCAGTTGAACTGCCCTTCGAAAAATTCTGCCCACCGTCCAAGACGTCGATGGATGTTAGTGATTGGCATCCCATCATCCTCGCAGATTGTTTCACTCACACCAGACTTCTTGCTGCCAGTGGCTCGGATGAGTTGGAAGAGCTTCCGGTAATTACCAGATGCAGCTGCTGCTTCCAGCTCATTAGGCTTCTCGGTCCTTACGCAAGCTTTGCCCGATTTCCTTACGTAACATCCTTCGTTTATGGTCAAACTCACGGTCACCCGGAGTAGACCGACGGGCTTCAATGAGTTGTAAGGAACCAGAAGAAACCCAGTGCTTAAAAGCGGGACGTTTCGCAAACCCACAACTGACTGTACCCGCCATTTTCATGGCGTCATGCAATTGCAACCAATGCTCATCTATACTTTTCGGTGGAGTGGTAGCTAGCCTAGAGGCTAGCTCGGTTCGATACTTACTTGCAACAGAAGTTGCAACCAGCTTGCCAAAATCAATCCGTTGGTGGCGGTCACTTCGTTGTCCACTGAAAAGTAAGGCAAGATTGGCGCAGACCAAGGCATGGTCAGAGTCCAGATAGGTACTCCAAAAGGAGCGGCAGTCTTGTACACAACCACGCCAGCGGTAGCTGATCGCGATGTGATCAATCTGAGTCCAGGCTTGAGATGCAGAGGGAGGACGCCAGGTGGCACATCGGCTGTGCACACTTGCAGTAGACGGTCCCCGTTATCTGACCTGCGACCAAAGAGTCCCCATCGGCCACCTAAACGACCCTCTTCTGTGCCTAGACGCCCGACTTAAGCATTCAAGTCCCCGGCTAGTACTACAATATCTGTCGAACGCACTTCCTGGAGAAGAACAGATAATTGGTGGTAAAACTCATCCTTGATTGCATCCGGGCTGCAATCTGTCGGGGCATGGGCGGAGATGACGAGGAGACATCGGTTCTCACGCCGATTTCTTCTCACTTTGATGGAACTCTCTAACCTAACAGCACATAACCGACTGTTAATGGGGATCCAATCGATTAGTGCTGCCTCAGCTCTAGCGCTTAGTGCGACACCAACGCCAGCAAGACCAGACGAAGATGCCACAGGGTCCCCGGATAAACGCACGTAAAACAAGCTTTTTGAAGTGACAGATGGAGAGCGAATTTGTAGTACTTCACCAGAGTCTTGAATACGGGTCTCGGATAGACAACAGACATCGATATGAAGACTTTCCAAAGACATAGCCAGCCCTATCTGTTGTCCAACCTGTATAAGTGTGCGAATGTTGAAGGCAGCCAGTTTGAATGGTGCACGTGGTTTCAGAAAAACTGCTTCAGTCCTCGTATTCGGTGGTAACATACAATTTTCAACCGGACAGTGACTCGAAAACGTTTAGATACAGTCGAATTTCCACCATAGACGAGTTGCTGTATAAGTCGAAAAAAAAGTATAGACAGAGTAGGAATAAAAGAGGGTGAGTAATGACGTAGTAAATAATAATAACAATAGCAATAATAATAATTGAATCATTTGAATGTTCGTCGTAGCAAGAGAATTAGTTTCCATGATCATAGACAGTTCAGTTCATTAATTGCGTGTGGGCTGCGATACCGCCCAGGTGCCCAAACCGAAGCAGGTGGTTTTCTTAGGGGGCCACACCCCGAGCCTTTGACCTAAAGGTCTAACCCGCAAGGCAGTGGAGCATCGTAAGGAGATACAGTCCCATGGTAGCCGGTGACCGAAAATTGATTCATACACCATTTGTTCCCGCAGGATACTGGAACCCATGTGCACCTTAGATTTGGAATCCGGTTAAAGCGCCGGACATTCGCTTTTCGTCCTCTCATTTTCGTAAACAACACCCCCGCCACGAGAAGGCAGTGAGTAGGACTCCCCTGGCAGAGGCTGTATACGCGCGGCCGTGTGAGAGTATTTCGAGAGAGAGGGCGAACCCACCCCGCTCTCGGCCATACCAGGGCATTTGGGGGCCTCAGGACAATAAATATCTGATTCATCATTTTTACACTCTGTATTTGATAGAATGTATTTTCTCAACCTTAAACGGTGCTCATAATCAGTCTTTAGTTGAAGTGTGAGGAAATAACTATGTGGTTGGGCTTACAGTGACATGCGAATAAGATACGCCTAATGTAACAGAACTGCTCTCTGTCTGAATTGAGTGACATTACGAAAATACCAGAAGTATATACATGAGCTGCCTATCTTTTTATATATAGGTCAACTCAATCTAAAAAACAACCGGTCGAAAACCCCAAAGACAAGATTATACAAAAGTCACTACAAAAGATAAGGAAAAAAGTGAATCATTTATATTTTTCACAATAAATTAGTTACTGGTTCACTGAATGCATAACAAACATCCCCATAAGGTGTATTTCTTTTGATAATATCAGCTACTTCATCGCCTAACTTATTGCGTACGCCATAAACTGGTGCACCAGGTTGAGCCATTAATAAATATAATGTCTCGGGTCCTTGGTTGTTTGAAACAGCTAAATGTAAAGCGGTTTGTCCACTATTTGTAACTAATAAAACAAAACCCAGTGTTGAATCGATTAGAAAGAACAATATGTCTTATTTTATGGTAAGAAATGTAAAGGTGAATATGATACTACTCACAAACTGTAGATTTGTGTATCGGGTTTTGAGGTAAACTGTGAATGAGGCTTAGTGACACTAACTATCTGCTCAAACCGCAGGCGAGATGTCAATGGGACATGTGATTCAGTGGTTGAAAGTTAGACCTTTTAACTAGTAAATCACTGGCTCCTAAAAAGTGAGTGTGGTTTACGTTTAAGTAAGTTGTACGAATATCAATTGGACTCCGAGTTATTAACTAGTCAGTCAGTCAATCAAACGAAGTCTACATATCTATCAGAATAATACGGTAATAAACAATAGCAGATGGACTTGCACAATATATTTATTGGTGAAATGATCATGGAAATAATCATATGGGAAAGTCTATTTTTATTATACTACCTAGCGTTAAATGATCTACGCGTCTTGACTAATTAATAAACCCAGACTAGTGAATTTTGTATATTCGACATAATTTCTATGGTTTCATAAAACGAAGTACCTGTATGTGGATTAGGAAATTGATTATGGGATAATTGTTAGTTAGATCCTGTAGATATATTACATGCCTTTAGTAATGAAGAAAGGTGTAGTGTACCGTTTCCAAGATTGTATTTTTTAAACCTTAGTGTCGAATATTGGAGAGACGTATTTTAATAGTTAGAGGATTTGCAAGAAAAAAAACACTCGACGTTTATTGCACTGATACTTGGTAAGCTCCTACGAAGTAAGATGTTAATGACGAACATTAAACGAGACTGAAATATACTTAACTTGAATATACTGTAGTGTCAGTCATTATTTTAAGCCCATATATCTTATGTTCTAGCTTTCGGACATCCCATTCGATTCATTCTACTTGAGTCATATTTTGACCTTGTCAATTATTCGCTTGTCAGTCTTGACTGTTTTTATATGAGCGTATATGTGTGTGCCCTTCTCATCCTATTAATCACATGTCTGTAGCTTTATTTTGTCTGACTATAAATATTGAGTAACGCTTGACTAAAATGGAGTTGGCTTCCCAGCCATCTTCCATACGTGTCATTTTGCTTTGCTATGTTTCATTCGCTTCATGTACGAAATATATGTATTCTCGAGTCAATTCTCGTTATTCGACTTATTTAATTCTGTTATTGACTAACGTGATTTAAGTTGACGATGATATACGAGAATAGGCGATAACAAACATTCGTACGCTCTAAAATGGAGTCGAGAACTACGGGCTACAAAAATACATATCACAGTGCTTATTATCTAATCTATGTGAATAACAGGACTTATACTCAAAAGCATAGCGATAACTAACTTACGAGCATTTAAATCTGCACCAGCTGTAATAAGTAACTGAACACAAGATAATTTATTCCAGAATGCGGCACTGTGTAATGGTGTCCATCCATCTTCTGTTCTATTGTTTATGTTTGCTCCGTATTTCATTAGACACTAAGTTAAAGGAGTATAAACAAAAGTATCTGTTAAAATAATGCATAACGTTCCAAAGAATACATAGAAACACTAATGATCATTTTAATTATTTTTCAATCAGAAGTAAATACTCAATAATCTGCATGTGATGTGTTAATCAATAGGCTTGGGTTCAGTACCCGAACAGGGACACAGGTGCCTAATGTTGAAGACATAAAGTTCTCCAATGTTCGCTACTTTAATAGGGCTTTGAAGTTGGTACTTTGTCCAAGTGTCCGATTTTTATTTATTAGATCATAATTTCAAAGCTTGATTAAGCAAGTAGGTAATAAAACTAACTTCTACACAAACGCAGCTTAAATGCGAGTACATAAAGTTATAATGTATAAGTGAATCAGATTATTTACCGAACTTTACTAATCAATATTTAGACGATAAAAAAGGGGAGGATATTAAGTTGAAAATCAAATGAATTATAAATAAGAACATCATATAAATTAGAAAATAAAGCAATAATTGCCGATAATCATTGTAGTGAATATACAAATGTTGTGTGGGTGAGGAAAATAATGATTGATTGTTTACGAAGTCAGACTAGTAGATAATCTGACAGGTATTATGTGTTATATCTGTTCCTACCATTATTATTATTGTTGTCGGGGTGGAAACGCACTTACGTTCTAGTCATACCAATTGCGTTCTCTTGATCCGAATTGTGTTGAAGTCCTGTAGAATAGACACTGGGGAGGGTATCTAATATAGAATTGATGGATATGGAGGATCCACTTAGGGGAGTTGGAAAACCCTTATTCCAAACCAATGGTGAACATGGGATCCATGATCCTGAGAGAACAAGTGGCATATGAACATATTGTTAGTCACTGGCTACCATGGGACTGCATTTCCGAACGTTGCTCCACTGCCTTGTGGACTAGACCTGTAGGTCAAACGCTCAGAGTGGCCCCCTAAGAAAACCACCTGCTTCGGTTTGAGCACTCGGGAAGTACCCAGCCCTTACATAAATCGAATGATTTATGTGGCGCATATTTATTTGTTGCCTCCATGTACCAATGTTTATGTGTTTAAATAAATTTTAAACAAACATTGCGAAAATTTCAACCATGAAAATAATATAGATACCAAAGAGTGTCGATAATCCGTTACTGTTGTTAAAAATTATTCCACAGTCAAGATGAACTACGTGATACTTTTATAAGATTATAATTTTTCCGATACTTTATGTTGAAAGTGATCACAAATAGGCGGCAGTTGAATTATAACAACTAGAAACAATGTGCTACAAATAGTCGAAATCCAATTCTAAAAAAGTAATCGGACAAATCTTTGTGCACAGTTTATCGCCTAAAATTAATCAGTGTACAAACTTTATTTACCTGTAATACTTCTACATGTCCTCCATATGCTGCACGATGCAATGCCGTATAACCATCTTGATCTTTAGCTGATAACAATTCTTTTAACTCCATCACTCCTTCAGCATCTTTTTGTTTAGCTGACTCAATAAGGCGATGGATAGTAGATAGATCATTGTTTTCTGCTGCGACAATAAATTGTTTTTTTGGATCACCTAAACTACGTTTTGGAAAAATAAGTCTTTGATAAACATCTAACGAAAATTCAAAGATAGTTATTTTTTATGAAACAACAAATACCACTCAGTTAGTCGAATATAACGCATGACCTAACACATATGTACATCGGTTCACGTTGTCATATCCCATTACAAAACACAAATCAAAATACTACGCAAAATCTCACAGTAGTAGATGTAGTAACGAAATCAGTGACAATGTAAAAAGGTGAGACTATAATTTATGGACAAGTCGGAGATAAGATAACGAGTCATATATTTTGGTGCGAAATTCATTCATACATTTGGCTAAATAGAGTTTTGGCATTATAGTTGATGTCAATTCGTGATGAAAACCCTAAATCGAGTTCCTAACCCTAACCACCAACTATAAATCATAATTCTAACTGGTTTATAACTCTCATTTGCTCCTAATCAGTAGGTGTCCATTTCTAAGGTCACTTCAGCAATGCTCAAAAGCGTCCATAAATCAGTCTCACCTATAAAAGATTAGGCATCGAAGATACGATCCTAGGAAATATAAATCGGTGAAATAATAACATTAACATCATGAAGAATTCAAAAGCTTGGAATGTGGAAGAAGACAAAGAATGGATGCACTTGCACCACTCTCATTCAGTCTCGAACCATTGGTTACGACAGTCACGTGGACTCCAATCAGGTACTCGACAATTAATAACATGGCTCAGTCGATGACTCCATAAAACGGTGCAATTTTCCGATCTGGCTGCCACTAGCTTTCTTCCAACATACTTCTACATACCAGACAACATCCATATCGATGTGGGCAGTGGATGGGTATACGTAACACATGTCCCAATTTTCTCAGTTGATGGAGACTTATCAAACGACTAGATATCTTTGTCTAGTACCCCAGTTATAACCGAGGATTGCTTATTCTGTGGTTTCAAATACACGACTAAGGCTTCGAAGGCACCTAAGGTCAAATATGAGTAGCCTATGAGTAACCTCTTATTTTCAAGGTCCATGTAGAAAAAAAGACCAAGTAGAATGAAGCGAACTGTTATGCAGTAAAGTTGTTATTTAGTTGGCAAATGGATATCTCGCCTACCTCAAAAGTGATGCAAGATATGAATAATTTATTATATCTGTAAATCGTTTTGCTCTAGAAAGATTGTTCGTTTGATATAATTTGGACATACAAAGTTAGTAAATAATACTTTTAACCAATTAGGATGGAATGCGCGCTCTGTACTTCGCTATTTTCAACAGTCTATCTTAAGTAAACAAAAGATATACTTCTGAAGATTAACAATACTGTTAATAAAATTAGGTGGTTTTTAACTGATAAAAAACAGCTAACTTCAGTTCTAAAATGTAATACAATTTAAAACAGTAGGCATTTGTAGTGAACGTAATTATTTCAAACAAATATTTGCTTTGACAAGTGTCTTTAAAAAATTTTATCTATATTTGAGAAAAGAAAAAACAATACCTATTCGGTCTACATTAAGTCTCATATCTGTTCACGAACTAATTCCTTTAAACTAATAAGTAAACAATAAAGACTATAGTATTTCGAAAGCTATTTGCCTCTACAAACTTTGAAGTTCAATTATAGATTTAAATGAAACTTGCAAAGTTCACGAGAATTAAAGCTCAGTAGAATAGCATTGACCACGCAAATAAATTAAAAAAACTAATTGGAGATTGGCAGAGAGATGTGAAAATTTCAAGGATCCAAATCAATACAACCGTCGAATAATACTAATATTTGTGTAATTAATCAAGTAAAGAAAAGAACAAAAACATGTCAGTTACTCAATATTTACTTACAATAGTCATAAATTTATGATAAAATGTTGTATTAGTGTTATTATTCTACTTTATGGGTATGAGGCATAACTATTAACGATAGATGTTAGTAAGTTACTAGTATTCAATCATAAGTGTTGACAACAATTAGAAATGACCTGAATGACAAATTATTATTATGTTATTTATTTATTTTAACACATAGATATTGGTACAAGGAGGCACCAAACACATATGTGCCACACAAATCTCATTTGATATGTGTGAGGGCTGTGATACTGCCCGGGTGCCCAGACCGAAACAGGTGGTTTTCTTAGGGGGCCACTCCCCATGACAAATACATGTTATCGGCTGAGAAATGAATTGGTGTCAAGGGGTAGAAATGCATACGTATATATGGATGAATATTTATGCATATTGTTCAGTGGTACAATAGGCTATCTCTTCCTCCACCGATCGTGTGTGTTGACAGCTTCACTTATCTTGAAAGTTTTATCAGTCTTGATGTGCTAGTGTGTTTGACGAAATCTTTGCACGGATTCAAAAGGGTCGATTAACTTTTTTCTATTCGCATTGCTTGTGGTGTAGGTGAGATATCTGTCTGTCGACCAAAAGAAGAGTTTACAATGCAGCAGTTCATCTCGTTTTACTTTATGCGTGTAAGGCAAAACTAATGAAAATAGAGGATATTAGTGGGTTGTTAGTATTCGAGCATAGGTATCTTCGAAACATTGCTTGTATATATCGGGACCGTCGAGTAAGTAATGTATAGTTCAGGTATATGATACTAAGTAAAGATGGCGAATAGAATGATGACGTGATAAATCTTCATCAACTGAGGTGATTGGGCATACGTAACAATTGCCACAACCATTAATTACCTTGATGGGGTGTGTTGCCTAGTGTAGGAGTAGACTGGAAGAAGGCTAGTGTTGGTCAGACCAAAACTTGGCGTCGATGCATGAACTGTTGGCCCGAGCTATGTAGTTTAGTACAGATTACCTGGTTGAGGTTCATGTGAATACTCTAACTAATGGCCAGATTTTGAGTGATATGATTAAGAATAATCCGAGACAGCGCAGGCGCATTCGTGGTGTGGCAAATTGAACCAACGAATATATATATATATATATATATATATATATATATATATATATATATATAGTGTAGCCATTTTTATTTAGCTTCATGAAATTAGTCTCTAAATGCCCTGGTGCGGCTGAGAGTGGGGAGTCTACTCAAATGTCCTCACATAGCCACGCGTATACAGCCACTGATAGAGAATGCCTACTCACTGCCTTCTCGTGACAGGCGTGTTGTTTACGAAATCGAGTGGACGAAAAGCGAATGTCCAGCGCTTTAATAGGGTTAATGGATACGAAGGATCCACTAAGGGAAGTTGGAAAACCCTCATCCCAAACTAATGGTGAACATGGGATCCATGATCCTGAGAGAACAAATGGCATATGAACATATTGTTGGTCATTGGCTACCATGGGACTGCATTTCCGAACGTTGCTCCACTGCCTTGTGGACTAGACCTGTAGGTCAAACGCTCAGAGTGGCCCCCTAAGAAAACCACCTGCTTCGGTTTGGGCATCCGGGCAGTATCCCAGGCCTTACACAAACCGGATGATTTATGTTGCCTCCATGTACCAATGTTTATGTTTTTAAATAAAATTAGGAACCAATAATATGATAAAAGTTCAAATATTATGCGATTACAATGCACATAGAATCTTATTTCCTTCCAATATTATGTGGTTGACGATTATTACTACGACTCTCTGGAAAATAGGTTTCGTGTACTGGTTGGCACTTATCAGCAAAGTACAGTACATGCATTCTTGAAATAACTGATATACTTCGTGAACAAAAACAACTGAACAGTTGACTTTTCCGTTACAACTATTATGTTCAAGCAAAAGTGCACCGAGGATTATGGTACCATTAGGATTCCGAGGACTTACGTGACCGTTATCACTAAAGAATAACATTTGTCATTTTAACACAGATGTGTCACTTTAAAATTCATAACCAAAAACTAGGTTTGGATTTAAAAACTCTTTAGGAAACAAAAGTTGCATACCAGAAAAAAATCAATTGTCATTATGAGTGCATTGAGTTTCATTCTCCATGTCTATCGTAGCTGAGACCTTGACGTGGTAGATGGGTCTGCTTATCGTCATGATTCAATTGGCCCATGTTGCTAGGCAGGTTTAATTGGAGAGTAATAAAACTAAAACCAGAAACGGCGAAGTCGTACCCGTGGATAGTAGGGTGTGATGGTAGTACACTTTTTCTCAGCATATGCAACAATATTACCTTTCCAAAACGAAAGGAAAGTTTAGAAATTGATTTCCTTAAAAATATTATCCCTAACATTGATCCACAACGACTCTACAATTATCGAAAACAACCGAATAAATTCCGGGTCAACAGAATAAGCTCTTAGTTAATTGTGCAGAAATTCTAATCGCTTGGTCCTCTTTGAATCACGTGCTAATGTTACTCAAATGAACAATCGAATCTTCAAAACTAAATCATTCAGTTTAGAGACCATAACATAGACTACAGGTCTCCCCGCGGGAGGATGGATCTGTCTCGACTAACCTCTAACTTTTCTAAGGTTTCCATTTAAACCTTCGAGTTTCCAGGACTACTACTAGTTTAGTCTCCTTTTCGGACAATCCAAAAAGGACTACTCTTCTGCAGTATGGTAAAACGCGAATCAACAACTACACAAATTCATTGAATGTACTATACAATAAGCAATTTCGCTGTTATCAACGTAACAGAAATCTACATGTAAACTTTGCGTCAATACAGAAAAGCTTACTGTTATCTAAAGAGAAACTACATCGTAAAGAACCAAAGGCATAAAACAACGAAACACTCCATACCTTTTATTTGATCATTTGTCCACAGATTAATATCATTTTCATCTGCCTGCCAAGCACTGACAAACATACCAGGATTATTACGTTTGGCAGCCATCACCTAGAAATACAAGTAAGTTTATAATTTCTACTAAATTGATTTTTGACAATGAAAAGTATTATTTGATGTAATTTTTGCATTACATATGCTTAAGATTCAATGAGACTGTGTTTGATGATGGTGTATATCTTACCAAACTTTGGTGAAACGATACAGAACACTATATATATACTTATAGTTTCTTTTATTGAATCATTTTTAAAGTAGATTGTTTTAATCTAATGAAGCCTAACATGAAACTAGACATGTTACATATGCTAACTCACATCAATTGCCAACAATAACTGAATATAGTATAAAATCATTTAGTGGATATTTTAATTTGACGGTAGATCTGGATATAGTTAATTAATCACAATAATATTCATTTAAGTTTGAGTTTAATTATGTAAATAAATGAACGAATATAAAAACAAGAAAATCGGTTTAATTTTATCACTGAAATCCTTCATTTCAATCATTTATTTTTGACATTTGATTGTAGACAACAATTATATTCCTACAGAAAATGTATGTAATTAGGAATTACTAATCGACTAATTTAGTGAGAGTATCAATGTGTTAAATATTGAAGTCTACTAGCTGAAGCACTAAAGTCAGATATAGAAGTAACTGTAAAGATATTCTATGTTCAATTTAAGAAGATTTGGGAGGAGGAACAAGTTCCAACAGACTTGAAAGAAGGATACCTTATCAAGATACCAAAGAAAGGACATCTGAGCAAGTGCGGGAACTACAGAGGCATCACACTACAGTCAGTACCAGTGAAGGTTTTCAACTGAATGTTGTTGAACCAGATGAAAGACTCAGTAGACACACACCTTCAAGACCAACAAGCCGGATTCCGTAAGGATCGATCGTGCACAGACTAAATCGCGACACTACGGATCATCGTTCAACAATCAATTGAATGGAATTCGTCATTATACATCGGCTACCTTGACTAAGAGAAAGCATTTGACGGTGTAGATACGAGAACCTTATGGAACTTTCTTCGAGACTATGGTGTACCTGAGAAAATCGTCAACATCATGCGGAATTCGTATGACGGACAACAGTGTAAAGTCGTCCATGAAAGACTGCTGACAGACGCATTCCAAGCGAAGACCACTGCCAGAGAAGGCTGTTTACTCACGTCCCTTCTTTTTCTTCGGGTGGCTGACTGGATTATGAAAACCTCCACATCTGAGAAGCATGGAATACAATGGACATCTTGGATGCAACTAGACGATTTGGACTTCGTAGATAATCTAGAACTTCTATCCCATACACACCAATAAGTCCAGGTCAAGACAACCAGTGTAGCAACAGCCTTTACATCAGTAGGCCTTAACATGCACAACGGAAAAAGCAAGATCCTCAAATACAACATGAAGAACACCAACCTAGTCACACTTGATGGAGAAACTCTGGAAGAGGTGGAAACTTTCAAGTACCCGGGCAGCATCATTGATGAATAAGGAGGGTCAGATGCAGACGTAAAGGCGAGGACTGGCAAAGTAATAGAAGAATTTCTACTGTTGAAGAACATGTGGAACTCGAAACATTTGTCAACAAATATCAAAGTCAGGATCTTCAATATGAACGTCAAAACAATTCTGCTATACAGAGCTGGGACTTGGAGAACCACCACAACCATCATCAAAAAAGTACATGTCTACGCAAGATACTTATTGTCCGTTGGCTGGATACCATCACCAACAGCCTCCTGTGGGAGAGAACAAACCACTTTCCAGTTGAAGAGTAAATAAGTAAAGGACGATCGAGGTTGACAGAACATAAGTTGCGGAAATCCTCAGAAGCACTAAGGAAGCGCTAACTTTGAATGCTGAAGAGAAACGGAAAAACGGAAAACGAAAGAACAGACTGTGTCAAGAATTGGAAATGGAGGTGAAAAAGTTGTAAAGCAACTGGAAACAAGTGCACAGGACAGAGTTTGATGAAGAATGCTGGTGGAAGTTCCATGCTTCTCCACGAGAGGTAACAGGCGTAATTATGTTTATGGTAAATCACATTGGTTAGAGATTGTGATCATAGTACAAACTTGGATTATTTCCAGAGTTCTCACCATTGTAATTCAGTTTCAAGCTAATCACCAACAGGATAGACAGTTGAAAAATAAGCACGTAAATATTGAACAATGGTGTTCACATTTATTTTATCAAGTGGTTCACTGACGTCTAAAGGTACATTAGGATTTTAGTATAGGATTGTCTGGATTAGTGATCATATAATGATCAACTTCATCAGAAATTTCGGGACAATTTTTCTTGAACTAATGTGAACAAAAGTGAGGCTATAAGGTGATTTTATAAACACTCATTAATTAAGCTTAATAGTTACTGATTGTAGAAATTGCACTGCAATATTTACACACCAGTAAACGGATAAACAACTCTCATAGTGAAACGCATGGTTGGAATTATCCCAAGTGTAAAAATAACTAGGTGTTTGAACGACTTCATTGTGTATCAGTGAGTACAGATGACCAATAAGCTGCAAATACAGTAACTCCACATATTTCATAAAAAATCAAACTCTTAGTACAGTGTCAAGAATTTATGATAATGAACCCTTTGTAAACTGATTTAACAGGGTACAAAAAGGATAACTAGTACATGAAAGAGTAAAAAAAGCATTAAAATATACTTAAAGTCCAATAAGTAAGGTTTTAACTGTTACCAAACAACTGCCCAGAGATACTATGCAACTGATCATTTTTGGAAAGTCAGATAAAAAACATTCTATTAAACATCAGCTGTTGCCAATATCTAGAGCAAATACATGTTTAGGCACCCATTTGAAGTTCACATTTCATGGAAATTGTCCCTTCATAGATCACAAAATTTTTCTATGTGTTACAACACTCATTGTATTTTACCCGAATCTACCAACACTACCTTTTGGAACTATTCATATATGGTGCTAAACAATACGTATTATCACTGCACTGATGTCAGTAAAACTCCAAGTTCTTTTTAATCATATCAAGATGATTTACTCTTTCCAATGGATGAAACAATCGACTTATTAGAACACTAAGTCGATGCTGTAAAAAAGCTTAGACTGGAATGACGAACACAAGGACTGAGTTATGAAAGACTTACTTCGTCGATATCGAATGACAACTCGTCATCTTCAGATTGCGAAGACATCCCCGTCAATTAGAACACCTAAACCAAGAGTTTGGGGGTTAGAACAGAAGCAAAAAATAAGCAGAAAAAAACTATGTGTACATCAAGGTTTATTTTGAATACTGATACTAATTACATCAAACAAGTGTTTGGAACTATCGTCACTAATCATAGATATCGTGCCGATCACATAGATACTGGATGATATCTTGAGGCGAAAAGAAACGTCGAGAATCCATGTCAGGGATTTCAATACCTGAAGATTATTAAATCAAAAACCTTACTGAACTCTTCTTCTATTGCCATGACAAGCTCTACATGATCTAAACTGTCTATTCCAAAGTCTTCATTGAATCTAGAATTTGGTGTTATCTATAATTTGTTGGGGCGATACTAACTAAACCAACTTTATACGGGTCGATTTTATCGTAGAGTCTTAACACGAGCATCACTCGATCTTCGATCATTGTTTTGGTTAATGGTACACCATGCCCATAGAATCTGCAGAGAATGGGTGGTGAAAATGTTTTAAATGAGGTCACTAAACATTTTCTTGATGCTACAAAAGTCTTAGATATTTTTGAATAATTTGCAATTAAGCACGCGCGTCGAAACCCACATAATACCGAGGACATCAAATTAATGTTCATATCGTTGTAGTCCTCAAGGTTATCGGTGGTCTCGGATTTTGCGGTTAGAATGTAAAGGATGATTGACTTGTTTTAACACTTTTTCATTTGGCCACTTTGGTTAGCTATTCTCTAAAATAAAAGAAACCATGGCACGAAAATAGTTCACCGAGACCACGCACAAGAAGAGTTTCAATTTAGCTTTAGGAGGACAGTAGCTCAAAAAAGGACTGGCATTTTTCCTCGCTGAGTAAATTCTACTGTTTCAATCGTTTAATACGTGTCAATATTACTGCTTACACTTTAATTGAATTCATTTTAGATAAAATACCTGAGAAAGGTATCGCTTTTAATCCTAAAGTAGTCTATCTTCTGTACATTCGAGTACTTTGTTTTCTATTTCTTTTGTGAGTACTTTTGGTCCTAACATTTTGCATTTTTCTACTTTTTCTAGTCATAGATCACCTTTGTCCGTAGGTACAATTGCATCTTGTCTCTTCTTGAAAACCTCTTTTCGATAACTGGGCAGTGTAAGAAAAGCAATTGCCAACGTCCGGGCCGCCGATATCCCGTTGAAAGCGGCATGAAGTGCGATTAGTGCAAGGGCTTGTACCACGAAGTTTATACGAATTAGACGCCTGCAGCTTTCAAACGGTTTAGTAAAAACTGTTCATGTTCCATAAAGAAGGTTCGCATCCTTCCACGCAAGAGGAGAAAAATGTAGGATAGATTTATGATACTGGGGACTGATGAGTAGGAGTAGTATATGTACTAAAGTTTATCTGATTTATCAATTTCAGTTTGGAAAAGACAGGAGGGTTGATGGCGTGTGTTAGTCCTGGGAGTGATGGTCTCTCAGTTGATCCGAATTTCTTTTGAAAGAGTCGATAGATAGGGCCTCAACCACTCGCTGAGTTAATGAATTACACTCGTTGATGTTTCGATGGGAAGTCGATTGTCAGCTGACAGATAATTTGTCCTGGGCTTGTGAACATTTTGGAGTGTCGTCGTAAATTTTCTCTTTTGGAAAACAAAAAAGATGGTGGCAAATCAGGTGCAAATTATTTTTAAGCAATTTGAAAACTGTAATCAAGTCACCTCTAGTTCTTCAATATGACAACGAGAATTGGTTTAGCATGGCCAGTCAAGCGTCATACGGGAGCTGCACTATTTCGGGAATCAGGTTAGTTTTTGTTCCCTTAACCTTTTCCAAAAGCTCACTGTCTTTTTTAAGCGGGGGATAGCATCCTATATGCAGTACTCAAGTTTAGGACACACGAACACTGTATACAAACGCAAAAAATTTTAGTGCCGACATGACCAAAGGCCGTACGTATTGACCATAAGGTTAAAAAACCTTTAAAGGCTATTGCACGGCAGTGTGTAGAAGTCCTTAAGTCTTGGCTAACGATGACTCCTAAATCATTTATGAACTATATGGCAAATTCATGTCTCGTTCTCATTGTTGTAGTACAGTTACAGATCTTCGGTTGCTTCCGACAAAGCTTTTCTAGCCAGCTGATCTGGCAACTGTAATGTAATGGAATAACTCAAGGATTTAATTAGAAAATTTTAGGGTGCACTGTATTGACATGAGTCTACACTGTTCGGTGTATCAGTTGTTCGGTGTGCTTCGAGTACGTAAATATAAACACAACAATGATATTTGATCAACAGAGTGATGGATAGGCGGGAAATTAAACAAAATAAGACAAGAACTGATCATACAAGCCTATTAACACGACTGTGCGTTTAAATTAAGATGTCACATCCTTGATGAATGGTGGTATACGAATTCCACATATCCGTACTAGCCATCACGGCTCGTTCTTTTGTAACCAACCGAAAATAAAAAACTAGAGATTCCTCTCTCTCATGTGACTTGTTTTCCGGTCTTATTAAGGCTGCATTATAACAACACTGATTCACAACCATATGGTCTTCTAAGATAAGTGTATAGTGACTTGGAAGACTGCTATGAATGTTGAATCGTCGACGAAAATTAGTGGTCAAAATTGGTTACGGTAGGAACATAATCGTGAAGACAAGGGTGCTCTGTGTAGGCGTGGACTCTATGAACACTTCTTTCGTCCTTGCAATGCATACACTATTTTGCTTGTATGACCCTATTTTGGTCTTTAAAAATTATTATACTGCATCATAGCCCAACCACAAGGATGAGCAGGTTATCGGATGCAATGGTATGAGTTTGACGTAAGATCATACAGAGTAGAAATTGGTATAATAATGCGTAGAATATTTTAAAGTAAGGCCAATATTCTAGCGAAATAAGTAGTTTAATCTATAGTGACCGTATTACTAAGGTCGCAAAAGTCACTCAATTTCTGATGGTTTCTGAACTTGAGCTTCAGAAAAAAGAGATTCAAGAATATTGGGATTTCCAAATCAACGTCATTTGTGCGTTAAAAGTAGTGGTACCAAGTATCTTTATGTAATAATGCTAGGATATTTCCGTAAGAAATCAAGAGTGACATTATTTTTCTCTCTATCTACAGAGAAATGAGTAACGGGTTCTATGCTTCCATATCTATTAGGACTGGGTCAGGATCTGAACATGTAATTGAAATTGTAATTGCCGACAATTTTTTATTAGAATCAGAGCTAAAATGAAGCTTCTGTTTTGAGCCAAAGTAGCACTGTTATCAACATTTCTAACACACTGGTTACTTCCTTACTTGATGGCTGCTATTAAGCGCAACTCAATTTCGTAAATGTGGCCTTCAGCTTAGCAACCAATCAGAATGAGGCGGGAATTATTATATCCGCCATCTTTGTAAGCAATGGCGGTCGGCTTTCTTTGTTCTGTGCTTTTTTTCAGCTATTTCTTGTGTAGCTACAGAATTTAATGTTTCAGTGTGCTAAAATGCAGAAGTTAATGTAATATTCTGATTGTTGGAGCAAAATGTTTCCTCATTTTGCTTTGTTTCCTGGGTTTTTGCTGCTGCTACTGAAGTCAATGTATTTCTTCAGCCACGCTGGCTTGTCTTATCGGTTTTGTTTTGACTTGTTTTCTAGATATCCAAAGCCGAAGCTCGTCTTTTAGCTAAAATAATTGTTGCTGCCGCCTGTGACTAACTGTCCGCATGTTCGTTCCTAACTGTCCTTTATGATGTTATCGACAAAATGAAAGGAAACAATCTCCGCCTTTCAATCTTCCTCAGTACTATGGACAACACTATCGCACCAACGAGTCAAACTAATACAGAGTGCCCAGCAGTAGGGGATATCAGTATTGTTTTCGAAAGGACTCAGACTTCCGATAACCATAGATGAAGACACAAATGCTACCAATCTATTGCAAAAGGCTTGTTATGAAAAATATGCCATATAGCAGTAATAGAGGGATTGTACTCATTACGTCGTGCGTTAAAGCAAGCTTAACTTTGAAAAGCCAGAAATCTGCTATCAGTGTGTAGTGTATGTTTGCTGTTTTGGCCATAAAAGGAAGCCGAAAGGTCATGATCAGGGAGTACAAAAGTAATTAACAAACACAGGTTTATCAACCATTGAATCTTTTTTTTGAACACAAAAATCCTTTTTTTAATATATGCTTTAGGTATTTAACCTTCTAACAACTTAAAAGTATTGACTTTTCACTTAGAACCAGTTTCAAAGGTCTTTGTTTTATATACTTGATATTTAATTTATTTCTCCATGTTTATGCTCCATTAGGTTTTTGTTGTATACCATTTAATGTCAGTCTCAGTACAGAGTAAAAGTCAGGAAGATAAAGATGAACAGCCCACTTATTTATTAGCATGTATATATATTTATACAAAATTTATTCATTTACTCAAAATTACAAATAGGATGAAACTGAATGGAAAAGCAAACAAAAAATACGACGGAGAATTCGTTCAATTTTGTAATTATTTCTCTGAAATAATTCGTACTAAAATGATATTAGCACCACGAATAAATAATTGTTGTTCGGTGTCATCATCGTCATGATGATGATCATCATCAATGTCATTTATCTCATTTTGTTGATTATCTTGTTTTTCAGTGAAAGGATGTTTTCGACGAGTTTGTAAACTATACCAAAGTGAGCTATAATAAAATAAATGATAATTAAAGATAACGATACTAAAAGAACAATAGTACTTAAGATGAAGTGGTGTAGTGAAGAATGATTTAATTTATAAATTGTATTCATCATAGACTGATCATCTTATATTGGTGTATCAATCAATAGCACAAAGCATTATATAATTGTTATGTGTTAGTATGGGATTTCTTAACAACAACACACGATTTGATGAGTGATTAAACCCAGAAACTTCAAGTTATACAATGAATGCTTAACCATGAGGATCACTGAACTAGTATTCAATGATCTGATTTTATCTTCAGTTTATTTACGATATACTTATAAATGACAATTGTCCCACAACTCACGACGTATATGAACTTAACTAGTTGGGAAAATGTTAGAAATTATATTATGCGCACATATAGTAAAATATATAAGTGACAAACTTATTTTCCGAAATTGGTTTACGGTTTTATTTTATTTTTAAATGTATGAAGTCATTTCATTATCTAAGATGATTTCAAATCAACAACTTTATTAAAGGTGTTGTGTTGGAATGAACTCACTTAAACAGCATCATTTCATTGTGACTTTAGTACAAATATATACCAGATAAAGTTATCACACTTGATGATATTAATACAAACGGGAAAGAAAATTAACTAAATAAAAAGCTTAATGAATAAGGCATTGATATTTTAAGTACTAAGTATCATATTTGAGACTCAACAAAGGTTACATCCCAACTGACTAGTTACCAAACAGGATGAAAAATGATGAGTCTTGAATTCCAGTGTTTAGCTATAATTCATATATACCAGTAACACTAAGAAATAAGAAAATTTGAGAATTAATCATAATACACATATGACTTAAATAAAAATGAATAAAATTAGGAAATACAGTTAGAGATTAACAGATAAATTGTTGGTAGCAATAGAATTTAGGATGAGTGTTTCATCTCATTTCGAACTCATTGGTGCCAATGTTCATATCGGAGCTTGAACTGAGCATTTTTTTATTTCTAACACTGAAGGCGTAATCTGTTGAGTTCACATCGCCATTATCTTTAAAGATGCGACAGGAATTTGGAGTTTGACAACGTCATCATACATAACAACTTTATAATTGAAGTTTACCAACTCAGTGAAATTAGAAGTCAGAAATGGAGAGGTCAGAAAATATATTTGGAAGATTATCGATAAGCGTTTAGTCTAAGTTGGTTAGGAGTAGCGAGGAATGAGTAGCACGGTGTACCCACTCGTGATCTGGTGCGGATGTGTGACCGAGCGATTTTAGCTAAGTGTGTCCAACAAAATTAATGAGGTCAGAATCGAAAACTCACAGAACTAATTATTTTGGGGATTTATTTACCGCTACATCTTGTTCAATGGATATGACGTTTATATTATAGATAAAAACGGTGAAGTTCAAGACTGGATTTTGATCAGCGTTTTCAGGATATATATATATATATATATATATATATATATATATATATATATATATATATATATATATATATATATACTGTGCAGATTACGTCGACACAGCTATTTTTATCACAAGTTGAACCGAATAAATGTATTATTGCTAGCAGTGGAATGTAGAAGGCCTGTACTAACATCGGTAACTAGCGAGTGCATCAAATACGCAATGGAAAATTAATATTCTATCAAAGCATTTCTCAAGATAAAACCACATATTTACTCTACGAGTAAAATTCCTGAGCAGAAAAATATTATCAAACGAAACCAATGAATACGATTAATTTAATAGTTGAAATCATGAATCAATTAAAGCTAGACCATCACGGAAAACCTAGAAGCACTGAACGGCCGTTTCGCCCTAGTATGGGACTCCTCAACAGTGAGCATCCACGATCCCGCCCGCATGATTCGAACTCAGGACCTACCAATCGCTTGACCTCTAGATCACTGAGTCGACCGGCATCTAACGGTGTTAATGTCTAACTTGAACATTTTGTTATAAAACGTAAAATGTGAAAGAAAAAAACCAAAATTACATGATATAAAACTCACATATCAGACAATTCAGACATATTTCGTTCATTCAAATTAACCATAGATGATGTCCAATTTGACGATTTATGATAAAAACAATTATTATTATTCTCGTCTAAATGATTATGAATATTCACTAAAACACTTTTATCAATCTGATCACATTTTTTGACAGACTGATCATCATGATCATTTGTATCAGATAAGGGGGATTTACCAAGTAGACGAAAAGGTCTCAATCTATTAATTTCATCATCATGTGCTTCTTTTTCCACAATCCCATCTTGATCATGATCGCCATACTGATCAGGAAATAATTGTCCGATTTCTAATGGTTGGTCTAATAATATTTATAGGACGTAAAAATAAAGACACATACCAAAGTTAGTGGCACAAAAATGATGTAAAATATAATTTGTAACAGACTGATTGGTGAACTGAAGTGATGGGACCACCCCACAACGAAAAGAGAGGGTAAGGAATAATCGGCTCTAAAAATATGACACCTCACTTTGTCCCATGGATTTCCATCACTGGCAGTAACGCCCTAAAAGTCGAGAGCAAGAGTATCAAGCGCTGCTTACAAAAGATTAAGTATAACTGGCTTCAACCAGTTGTCCGTCCAGCAAGTTGATTGAAGCTGCGAATGAGAACAACAGGATACCAACTCATTGGCCTGAACGTCAACAGCTTGCTTCAAGGTCTGAAGGTCCTTCTTAGCTCGATCCCCCAAAAGATTGTAGATACACACTGTAGAGGAGTCCCATACTGAGATGAAACAGATTCCTATTGTTTTCTAACTTTCACTGTCTGTTTAAGCAAAACCAGTTTGTGATGTGAAACCTCGAAATTCAGTAAACTTCACTAACCCTTATAATAACAATTTTAGTTTGGTTATTCCCAAATAATTAAAACTACGTCTAATTTTTAATTAAGATTTATTATAATCATTAACTAGGCTAAATGTCAAGATATTTACAGTGAAATACACCTTGGAATTAGGTGTTTAAAAATAAATTCCATAAAAAAGATTTTAAACACAGTTAATTCATATTCAAACTCAACACTAACTATTAACTCATTTACCAGGTACAGATTTGCGTACTTGGCTTCCACGCATACCCAGAATGTCCAAAGGTTGATGATATTACCCGGTTGCAAGAGAATAAGTTAAGTGAAGTGGGGTTCGACCCTGAGAATTAGTGGCTGAAGATCAGATACCTTAACTTTTGGGCAACTTCACTCAAACTCATCAAGGAAATAAGTCTTTGCAGCCTTCACAGAAATCTACACTTTCTGATGATTTAAATTTGGTCCCAAGTATTTGATATTCTTCATTCAGTCGACCTTTTTCACGGATTATAAAATTAAGCATTAAATGGTAATTAGTGGTTTACTTTAGTTATTAAAGCTGACCACTTGTTTACTGATTGATAGAATAAGGTAAATCCAGGTCTTTTCACATGTATAACTAACAAACGTGTCATTTAGTTAAGTTTAATACATTTCAATATTCGAATTAAATTGAAAGCCAATAAATATTCAATCACAATATGGATCATTATATAAAAGACACCAATTTAATACCGTATATGCTTAATGTATTTTGTTAGGAAAGAGACTATGTTTATTAACTCTAACTTGAACAAATGTGAATCATTAAAATTCACAGTGTTCTAACGCTGTATTAATGACATAGTGTTCACTACGTTAATATAAGCAACATTTCTTATCTGGTCTATACCATATAATTTGATTTTTTCAGATATCCACTTATTCGGTATTGTTTTTAGAAACTAAGATCAATGACTTATGTGATAAAATGCAGTCTTAATGTGTTGCCAGATTAAATGAAAGCAGATTTGGTTAGTTAACTAGTGCTTTACAGAGATGTTGCATAAAGCAAGACTAAGATATAGAATCTATTCACGAGATCAACAACTGTTGGTTCAAGCCAGGTTAGTAGATTCAAACTACCATGATGGGGATCAGTGAAATAATTCCAACCAATGGTTGTAGACATTAGATGATATGGCTTGAAACCGATCATACTGATATGCAAATACATCCATTCTTTATCTTCTAGATATTCCTTAATACTTGTCATCTTCATTTCATCGTGTCAGTGTTTAGTCTTTTTCATTATTTTATTGCTGTTACATTATTTTAGTTTCTTTGTAATTTATCTCATTCATTTCATCTTATCATGTTTGTATGGTAGAGCTAACTGAACTAATGTATATTTATACCAGGTTCTACGTTTTATTTATTTATTTATTTATTTTAACACATAGATATTGGTACAAGGAGGCACCAAATACATATGCTCCACACAAATCTCATTCAATATGTGTGAGGGCTGTGATACTGCTCGGGTGCCCAAACCGAAGCAGGTGGTTTTCTTAGAAGGCCACTCCCCGAGACTTTGACCTGAAGGTCTGATCCACAAGGCAGTGGAGCATCGTAAGGAGATACAGTCCCATGGAAGCTGGTGACCAACAATTGGTTCATACGCCATTTGTTCCCGCAGGATACTGGAGCCCATGTGCACCATTGGTTTGAAATCCGGTTAGAGCACCGGACATTCGCTTTTCGTCCTCCCATGTTCGTAAACAACAACCCCGCCACGAGAAGGCAGTGAGTAGGACTTCCCTGGCAGAGGCTATATACGCGTGGCCGTGTAAGAGCATTTCAAGAGGGAGAGAGGACTCGAATAAATAAATGAATAAAATGAATTATAAATTAACAAGAAACTATACATATTAAAAATAACCTGATAGAAATGATATAATTCAATCATTTAACATAAATATTACAAAAATACATATTTACTATCTTTCAGTTGAACATCAGTTTGATTAGATGGAGAATGGCATAAATGTGAACATCTTTTCAACTGAAATAAAGCGTTATTATTTCGTTGAAACTTTCGTAAACGTTGTTCCCTTCGCTTTTTACTTCGTCCCGGTTTTCCATTCTACAAGAACAAATTAAGAAGAATATTTATGATGTGTTGACGAGAATGATAATGATTGGTTAATTGCTTAGTCAGACTTGTAGATAGTTTGACAGGAGTTAGATGAGTTATATATTCTCCTATCCTTATTATTATTGTGATTGTGTCGGATTGTTATCGGGTTTTGGTGTGGAAATATATTTATGTTCTAGTCAGGCTAATCACATATTCTTGATCTGAGTTATGTTGAAGTCCTGTAGAATAGACACTGAGAGGGAATCTCGTGTAGATAATCGTCTAAGGCAAATTAGCGTCCCATTCGTGTAGACGAGGAAACTTTTAGCGTTATAACAATTTAAGATATAATTTTATAACGGAATAAAATTAACGTCATTAAATTAATTAAAAATATGCGTGTTGTTGTTATTATTGAAGTATGGTTGTATCACATTAACAGTTAACAAAAAAAAACTACTTGCAACAAGTTAGTCAGTGGGATTGTAGTTTAGTGGTTAAAATGTGTTCGACTTTCAATTAGTAGATTCAAAATTTTAACTTCATTCTGCCTTTTCAGTTTGGACAACCGGGTAGTATAACTAGACTTTACATTAAAAGTATAACTTGAAACCAAATGTACGAATATGCATTTGATGAGTTACAAAACACAATTTCATAAGTTAGTAAAAACAAAAAAATAGAACCTTAGTACGAATATTCATAAACTGATTTTGTTATATTTGTATCTGAACTCTGAGAAAGAATATTAACAAGATAGCAATTAATATTACATGATAAGATTTTAAGACAAGTCATTGAAGGTTTCCAATTGTATGAAACTTATGCAGGAAGTATTCACCTAGCAACATGTTAAGGTTCAATAATTAGTAACTTCATGAACTTATACTATGAATCGCTAGTCTTGTTTCTACCTACTTCTATGAGAGAGAGAGAGAGAGTCACTGTAAACATTTATTTCAGTCTATTATGAAACTCTTTTGTTAGTAATTCCTTAGTATGGTTAGATTCCATCTCCAAACTATTTTGACCTGAATTTAATATCTACTTGTATCAGCTTTGATCTACATTGAATCTAATCCTATTTATTATTTATTGTGATTATTTTATTGTTAAATAAATAAGAATAATATTTGAAGGGTTTTGTGGATATTATAGTAATTTTAATAGTTGGTGTCATGAGTCAAGTGAAGCTAGACCACTATGACCGTCCAGTGCTTCCAGGTTTTCCATGGTGGTCTAGCTTCAATTTACTCAGGATCTCAACTATTAAAATATGAATAAGTTAGTTTTTATTTTTTAGCTATTGTTCAAGTCTAAGAATTATTTTATTATGATTAATCGACTACAGATATATTTACTTAGGTTTATGCTTAAACAGTGTGAATTTTATAGATATTATTCAGTTGTTTACAATAAAGTAAATGGAACAAGGTTTATGTATGTGCCCTTATGATTTAAAGTCGAATTAAAAGAAATACTTTAAGTTCACACTTTAAACGATATAGGAAATCATTAAGGTGAAGTACCTAAGATATAAGTGCAAGTTAAACTGTAATTCTAATACAAAACCTATGATATTAAACAGTTGATATTATACAGGAGAAATTTGTTGAAATAATCAATGAAATCTTCCATGTTTTGAGTAATATACATCAGAATCGGTAAAAGAGTAGATGTATTCACTCAATCTTCTCTTATTATTTCATACATTTTGCAAAGCTAATTTATTCTTTCTTCATGAATCACAATATTTATACCGAATCTTTTCTACTACACCTGATAGCATTACTACTTCGAACAGTTTTAGATTCACCTCGATGATTTCGTCTCACTGTGTTGATGTGTAATGAAAACTTGAACCGATATATATGAGCCAGATTCTAGATTAATTACCATTGAATGGCATCAAACAATGTTTGTTAATAAAGAAGTTTCGTTAACTGATAAAATATAATGCTGAGTGTTGTGATGGACGGTGTTCGAAATCTGATACTGGTACACTATGTGCCACGCGCTGCTCCTCCCCGACTACCTGAGCGAGAACACAACAGTGAATGTGAAAGTGTATTGAACTATCGGATAAAGTGCACAAATACTCATTCATATATACCACTCTAATTTTCAGTAAATTGATCCATTTCTTAGTCAATAAAATGCGCTTATCCTTAAGGTCACTTCGGACTGCCATCGACTGACCTCATTAAGCTACTTCTGATTGGCTCTCCATATCACTGGGTAATATGACTGATTAGTCTGGATACCGATTTACATCAACCGGAATTTAATGATCAAAATCAAAGTTAAACATGTGGTATCATATTCATTATACATTTGAATCTTAATAACAAAATGAATACTACCAGTGCTTATATTTCTGTCTAGCAATTAGAACTATATTCATGTAGATACATGTGATCCAACTAGGTATATTGATCAACAAAATTTTCTAAATAGCTCACTTGTATTCAAACTAAGGGAATAAAATTGATGCCTAAAACTGTGAGTATAGATATATGAACGTGGTGAAATAAATGTAAAAATCAAAATGATTTATAGGAACAAACAAAACCTACACCTTTCAAAGCTGATTTCGGAAGATGAACAGAATATTCAGTCACATTCTTTAGAATCTAAAGATATTAAGAAAACAATGAAAAATAAGAATATCGATGATACACGGTTGATTGATATATATGTATAAAATAATTGATCGGTCATTGAGTAGTACTATATATATATATATATATATATATATATATATATATATATATATATATATATATATATAGTGAACTCCGCCTGGAGCCTCTCCAGGGACTACTGCCGGTCCCAAGCCCGGATAAAAGAGGAGGGTCGGGCATGGGGTTAGCGACCCCATCCCGTAGAAAACTAACTCGCTAAAAAACGCTGACCAGAAAAATAATTCAAACCATTTAAACTCTGGCCTGGGAGTCAGGTCTTCATTTAGAAGAGTTATGACGCCTCATAGTGAAAGCCGCGTTCTTTTGGAAGTCACGAGGCCGATGACCCTTCTAACAACCAGAGCAACCATTTATTTAGGTACATGGAATGTTCGTAAAATGTGGGAGACCGGGATAGTTTACAAATTGCCGCATAAATGAGGAGGTACAACCTGGAGGTGCTTGAGATCAGTGAAACAGATTGGACGCAGGTTGGACAACAACGACTAGCTTCAGAAGAGCTTCTGTTATACTCCAGCCATGAGGAAGAAAATGCCCCACATACACAAGAAGTTGCATTAATGATTTCCAAACAAGCAAAAAATGCACTTATAGGATGGGAATCTCATGGATCAAGGATCATCAAAGCGTTCTTCAAAACAAAGAAAGAGGGCATTTCCATGAACGTCATCCAGTGCTATGCACCTACCAACGACTACAGTGAAGACGTTAAAGATCAATTCTACGATGGGCTGCAGTCAATCGTCAAGAAGTGCCCAACAAAAGACCTGACCATTCTGATGGGAGATTTAAATGCCAAGGTTGGAATGAACAACACCGGATATGAATACACCATGGGACGACATAGACTGGGAGAAAGGAACGAAAATATTGAGAGATTTGCAAACCTATGAGCCTTCAATAAACTGGTCATAGGCGGCACTATATTCCCACATAAACGCATACACAACACCATAAAGACTTCACCGGTCAAACTACGCAAATCCAAATCGACCATATCTGCATCAACAAAAAGTTCAGGATGACAATGGAGGATGTGAGAACCAGGAGAGGAGCTGATGTAGCATCAGATCATCACTTGCTGGTCGCCACGATGAAATTGAAACTTAAAAAGTACTGGACAATGGAGCGGACAACATCACAAAAGTTTTATACGGCTTTTCTTCGGGATATTGACAAACTCAAAAAATCCAAGATAGTTCTCAGTAATAGATTCCAGGCCTTTCATGATCTACTCAATTGAGAGGGAGCTACTATGAAAGGGGGTCAAAGAAGCAATCACTTCAACGTGCCATGAGGTTCTGGGCCACAAGAAGCACCATCAAAAGGAATGGATCACTGTCGAGACACTGGATAAGATTCAAGAAAGGAGGAACAAGAAGGCAGCAATCAATACCAGCCGAACAAGAGCAGAAAAAGCCAAGGCATAAGCTTAAATACACAGAAGTAAACAAACAAGTGAAGGGGAGCATCAGAACCAACAAACGTAAATACGTGGAAGATTTAGCAATGATAGCGGAAAAGGCTGCAAGAGAAGGAAACATGAGACAACTGTATGACACAACAAAGAAACTCGCTTGAAATTACCGTAAACCTGAACGACCAGTGGAAAGCAAGGAAGGCGAGGTAATCACCAACATTGAAGAGCAACAAAACAGCTGGGTAAAACACTTCAAAGAACTCTTGAATCGACCAGCCCCACTGAACTCACCCAACATCGCAGCAGCAACGACGGACCTTCCAATCAATGTTGGCCCACCAACAATTCAAAAGCGGCAAAGCAGCAAGACCAGACAACATTCCCACAGAAGCACTGAAAGCAGACGTAACGGTAACCGCAAAGATACTCCACATTCTCTTCAGTAAAATTTTGGATAAATAACAAGTACCAGCAGACTGGAAAGAAAGACTTCTGATCAAAATACCGAAGAAAAGCGATCTCAGCAAGTGTGACAACTACAGGGGCATCACTCTTCTCTCAATACCAGAAGTCTTCAACAGGGTATTGTTAAACAGAATGAAGGACTCCGTTGACGCCCTTAGAGACCAATAGGCTGGATTCCGTAAAGATCAATCGTGTACTGACTAAATCGCAACTCTACGGATCACTGTGGAACAATCAATTGAATAAAATTCATCACTCTGCAACAACTTCATTGACTACGAAAAAGCATTTGACAGCGTGGACAGGACAAATTATGGAAGCTTCTTCGACACTACACCGTGCCTCAGAAGATAGTCAACATCATACAGAATTCCTATGATGGATTAAACTGCAAAACCGTGCATTGAGGACAGTTGACAAAGTCGTTCGAAGTAAAGACCAGTGTCAGGCAAGGTTGCTTACTCTCACCCTTTCTCTTTCTCCTGGTGATCGACTGGATCATGAAGACGTCAACATCTGAAGGGAAGCACGGGATACAATGGACATCTAAGATTCAGTTGGATGATCTAGACTTTGCAGATGACCTAGCCCTTCTATCCCAAACGCAACAACAGATGCAGGAGAAGACGAACAGTGTGGCAGCAGCCTCAGCAGCAGTAGGTATCAATATACACAAAGGGAAAAGCAAGATTCTCCGATACAACACAGCATGCACCAATCCAGTCACAATTGACGGAGAAGACTTGGAAGATGTAAAAACCTTTACATATTTGGGCAGCATCATTGATGAACATGGTGGATCTGATGCAGATGTGAAGGCGCGTATCGGAAAAGCAAGAGCAGCATATTTACAACTGAGGGACATGTGGAACTCAAAACAACTGTCTGTCGACCAACACCAAGGTCAGGATTTTCAATACAAATGTCAAGACAGTTCTACTGTATGGGGCAGAAACCTGGAGAACTACGAAAGCCATCATCCAGAAAATACACGTGTTTATTAACAGTTGTCTACGCAAAATACTTCAGACCCGTTGGCCGGACACTATTAACAACAACCTACTATGGGAGAGAACAAACCAGATTCCAGTGGAGGAAGAAATCAGGACGATGATGCGCTGGAAGTGGATAGGACACACATTGAGGAAAGCACCGAACTGCGTCGCAAGACAGGCCCTCACATGGAATCCTGAAGGCCAAGGGAGGAGAGGAAGACCAAAGAACACATTACGCCGAGAAATGGAGACAGACATGAGAAGAATGAACAAAAATTGAATAGAACTAGAAAGGAAGGCTCATGACAGTGGGTTGGAGAATGCTGGTCGGCGGCCTATGCTCTATTGGGAGTAACAGGCATAAGTAAATAAGTAATATATAGCGAGAAGCCGTGACTAGTGAAGTTCAACCTGGTCTGTTGTGTGATAGTAACTCACTGAAGACAATGGTAGACGGTGGCGCAATTTTGTTGATTGGTTGACGTCACACATTAACACTGTTGGATCCCGGCCGGCTCAGTGGTCAACTGGTCAAGCGCTAGCGCACGAGACCGATGGGTCCGGGGTTCGAGTCTCGCGAACGGGATCGTGGATGCGCACTGTTGAGGAGTCCCATGCTAAAGAGAAACAGACATCCAGTACTTCCAAGTTTTTCATGGTGGTCTAGCTTTAATTGACTCATGAATTCAACTATTTAATTACTACAATCTCCACATAAACCCCATTCTGATAAAAACTATACATATTTTAGTGCTTCTTTGTGCCAATATTAATGTGTTTAAATGAATAAATAAATAAAATTAAAACTCGCCAGTTCATAAATAGCCCTGTGATTAATTTCTCACAGTATTGTCTCTTTATCGGAATATAGAATATAATAATTACTTAAATGTACATGGGAAATTATGGTACTTTGAAATTGTCAGTTTAAAATTGAAAATTTGCGAAGATTTAAACAAGTAACATTGTTAAAACATGAACTATTTTGAATTTTATAGTTAACAACATGGACTAACTTTATGTTAAACAACCATTCAAAACTAGGAAACGCTAGAGACAATAACAAAGGTTAGTAATTAATGTAAACTATAATATTCAAAATATTCTTCACAAACCCAATATATTAATATTTCAATTAATAACTTATAGTAATATTTATGATGTTATAATAACTGATCTAACAATTTCAAACGAAGATGTTTTGTAGCTAGTAATGGAATTCAAGATGTGCATTTCGTCCAATTTGGGACTTATCATCAGCTCTGTATGTAATTGTATCCCATGGTTTAACTATTTATTCAATCCACTACAAAGTACTTGTATTGTTTCAATTCAAAATGAGTTGTTTTCGTTGCTGTACATGTATATTTCTTAAAGTTAGAACAATCATACAAATTTCATGACAAATTGACTATAGTTTCTAAAGATAAGTAGTTGGAATACGTGTAAATTATATAATTAAAAAATAAAGAAATAAAATAAAGTGTAAATTAATTAAATTTGGAATATATTCCATTATTGGCAATATTAAATGAAGTGGGTGCGCACTGCTGAGGAGTCCCATACTAGGACGAAACGGCCGTCCAGTGCTTCCAGGTTTTCCATGGTTATCTAGCTTCAATTGACTCATGATTTCAACCAGTGAAATTTCCACAAAACCCATTCTGAAGTATGATCAGTTTTATTTGGTATATATGTTTATCCAATGTGGATTGTATCGATACAATAGCCGATTATGACATAAATTTATGCAGAACAGATAAATTGTACATGTTTTTTTTATTTAAAAAAATTAATTAATTTTCACTTACTAAATTCCAATAACGATCAAAAGCAATTAAATTGCCAATAATTGAAGCACGAGGCTCTTTTAAACCACGAGTCATAACCATTATTTGACTTTGATTTTGCATAGCTTTCCATAAACTAGCCATAGGACTGAAAATACGTTGCTGTTGTCTATGTGAATGGGAGCGATGTACACCGTAATGGATTTGCTCAGGATCAAAACCTTATTTATTATTAATGCGAATAAAAACAAGCATGTTAATAGGAAGTGAGAAAGCAACACAGTATAAATAATACAGTATTTATTACAATTGATGAAGGCTTGTTTGGAGGATCATTTAATAAAAACATTGAACTTGTCATTACTCGAAATTGCTATGATTCACTAATATGCTTGAAGGTTGATCTTTTTCATGGTCATGTAAAAATCACGAAAATAAAAACTCTTGTAACGTCTAATCTTCTTGTGTATTTGTACACGATTCTTCATTATTGAAATGCCACTGTATATTGGTCGTGTGTGAGGCAGCAAACCACCAAAGACAATGGAAGATAGTTGAGCAGTGTCGTAGATTGACTGAAATTGGATATTAACACCGTCAGTAGGTTAGAGACGTGTGACGCCGAAGGTCTTGGGTTTGACTCCCACTTGCGGATGCTCGTTTATGAGGAGTCCCATACAAGGATGAAACAGCCGTCTAATACTTCCAGGTTTTCAAAGGTAGCTCAACAATGATCAGTTCATAATTTCAATGAAGCTCAACAATCTCCACAACCCTATACTGACAATTATCATGCGCTCACTCACTAGTGACTAGCTTCGAGAGGAAATCCCCAGAGTTCTGGTAAGAAGCTGTGACTAGTGGGGCTAAACCGTGTCGGGTGTAAGGTAGTTAGTTACCCACCACAGACGTCCGTTTTTTGATTTGTTAAATCATTTTAGATTTGTTCATATATGAGTAGTAGTAGCATCGCTTGTATTTTTTTACCAATCCAACAATAAAATGCAATAACTGCTGCAGTTACTATCTAACAATATCAGCTTCAATTAATTTTGGCCTACCAAGAAGCGACCTATTTCTACGTTTATAAGTGCACTGGGTATATAGGAAGATAAAAATAGATAAAACAAATATAAATCATCAGATCCGTGAATAAGAATTTACGCAAAACAGAATTATTCAGAATGATGATAATTTCTAGACCCAATATTAACGATGTTCCAATGGCAAAACACAAGTATCCACTCCTATTTTCCATAGAGCAGAAGCCTTCGTAAAAATGTTTGTCTGTACATGTGGTATAGTAACTACCAACGTATAGTGTAGATTTATATCATTATGTATTTCCCATATATTAAGTGAGGACTTTAACAACTTCACTAAATACATTATAGCTAGTCCACCCAAATGTGACTCAAATTCCAGTGAGTGAGTCGGTACGTGATAAATCAGTTACGTTGCTTATTTAAAAAATATACATAGAACTAAAAAAACCTGCCACACACTATTCCAGTATTTCAGCAATGATCTTGTCCGTTTACTCTTTGAAACAGATAGGTTGTTAGTTAATTTCGGTATGATATTTTCACTTGAGCGCACAGAAAATGAATTGCTAGCCTAATAAAAATGTTCAAGAAAAAGATAAAATTTACTAGAGTACCTATACAGCCTTCGTAATTAGTAATTATTATGATGACTAACAAACAAAGGACGTTTAAGGGAATTCGAGGAGGCTGATCTAATTTATTACAGAATGATGTAAGGTACCTATAAAAACGAAGGAGCACTGGAAAGCTGTTTGATCACAGTATAGGACTCTTCAGCACTGAGTGCTCACCACCGCTCCAGAGATCAAACTCAGGATTTCCAGTCCTTATTGGTTTTTAATTGTACCTGAGATCAATCTGTGACGCATATGACCTACAAACAACGAGATTTCAACGTTGAAACCACCTATTTTATAAAATGACATCGAACAAGGTTTATAGCCTCATCTCATTATTAAAAAAGATATCGTAATTGTTTGCGCAATGATGGTTACAAGACTTGTCAACAGTTTTACAGTGTCAACGAGGTAACTTTACTCAAAATAGACGCACAAAATTATTTTCCAAGAAAATATCAAGTTACAAATTCGACGATTATGTAGCGCGATGGTTTGAAGGTCAAAACAAGCGACTTTCAACCACGAGAAGTTGGGCCATGCTCCTTTTCACTTAACTCAGTTCAAGCAACCAAATACTAGTATCACTACCATATGAATAAAGTAGAACGCGAATAAGGGTATATAAATTCGTACTTGATATATAAATTCATATCCCTTCTACTATAATTCTCATTCTGTGTATTCTTCCGTTTACTGTGCCAAAGTGAGAACTTGAACTGACACACGTTTGAATCAGGCTTCTAGCGGTTTTCAGTTGCCTGGATAAAACCGTTATATATATATATATATATATATATATATATATATAATATTCGGGCCTCGAAATTTGGAAAGCTATGAAGTTGGACGGATATGTAATGCCTGTGTTATTATAATGTCTACGGAAATGTCACGATTTTCAATACCTAGAAATATTTCTCAACTCACTGTTGGTCATTAGAAAATACACAGTGACTCCTCAACATGATGTTTTCATCACCGTTTTAGCCCGGCGAAAACCTGGGACTAACATGAGTATTGTTAATATTCTCTTCTGATTGTTACTTTCCATTAAGGAACGTTTTGTTTGCAAGACAGTAGGTTTGATCAGCGTATCTCTATTATTGTTGCCAAATGTTCAGGGTTTCTTTTTTTCAAATAAACTACGGTTGAACGAAAAGTCTTTGTATAATATGTGGAATCTACAGAAAAATGTTACTGTTGTATTAAGATGCCTAGATACTTCTGTACAGGTTCGTACAATAATAAGATAGGACTTATATTTTACAGATCTAGCTATAAATGTAAGAGTAGACAGATGAATTAGCAAGGATAATAACAATAATAGTAACCTCTTGTTAATTAACTAAGTTGCCAGATTCAGGTTTGTGTATTCAGCTTCTAACCAGTGGTATTATCCGGTTGTCCAAACAGAAATGGAACTCGACTCTGAAACCTAGTAGCTGAAAATCGGACGCGTTTACTACTGGTCCGCAGACCCACTACTGTGATCAGTACAGTATAGCATCCAATTTTCAATAACATGAGAACCTTATGATTCACAGTTATAGCCATTTTATTGACAAAAGGTTACTACGTTAAACAATTGCTACAATGGTGTGAACAAGTCAATATGAGTGGGGATTTTTTTACAGGTTTTACAAGAAAGTGTTGTTAAAAAAGCGATTACTTTTTGCAAACACGAAGAAATCCCTATACATCTTACGTTGTCTCAGTTATCACTCCTGATCATGAGTTCGATAGGACGACAGCCTAATAACTGATACATGTAATGTTCTCAAACTATGGATCACGGAATGAATTAATAGTTTGAACATCTTAGTATACAAGATGTATTATTTTATTTCTCCGATACAGTAAGGATGAAAACATCTTAAAATTAATAACGTTGCTCTCAACATACGTAAGATCAGACAATCGAAAATAATATTAACAAATACAATATGTTGCATGTAATATATTCATTTAAGCAATCATACCTCCCTCTACCTTACATTTAGGTAAAAACAATCCAGGTTAACTGTTAACAACGCAGACTTGACAAAAAAACAAAGATATATTCTAACGAACGCATAAAAAGACAAATTGCCAATATATAATAATTCTTACTTCAAAAGTACACACAAAAAATATTCAAGAAAACAGAACGTAAACCAAATTAGAATTCAGATTAATGCATAATATTTGTAGCTATTTCTAATTTGGCTGATAACAACAAATACTTGGCAGAGGGCATTTTTTAGAGGAAAGAGTAATAGAAAACATCACCTGTGCTTTATTTCCACAAAGATGATATGTACATATAAGAGTATTGTAACGAACTGTACTCAACCGAAATTAGGAAGATTGCTGTAACTGAGTACTCTGAGTTAAAGTAAAAATTTGTTATTTATTCTGGAATTATTAAGCATAATATATTTATGGGCTTTTCCATACTGTCTTTGTCATACACTATTGTTGCAAACATCAAGTCGAATTCTGTTGATGATAACAATGAGACGGATTATCAGACGCCTTGAATGGCTTTGTGAAAGGGGTAGGCAGAAGAGCAGTAGAATTTAAACGGGGGACATTAATTGTTGGTAGATTGAACGAATCGGACTGTTCATCTTGCCACTTCCTTTCAGGTAGCGAATTTTTAGGACTAGATCGCGCAGAACTATTAGTTTTCAGATTTAAGGACTGCTCACTATGTTGTGAAGAATACCATTTTCTGTCTACGAAAGGCTGATTACATTCATATGCGGTAACACACGAAGTTTTAATAAATGATGGATTTCCAGTAAGACAGTATTCTTTCCGTATAGAATCCATTTGAACTCGTGGCAAGTAAGTTCGGTAGTCGACATCTTTGTTGGATGACAGATATCTCTTCTGGTAAGCGTGAAGTGATCCCTTTTCATTATCAGCAGGGTTGGTCAAATTTATACGCAAATCTATATCCTTCGAAGAGATTGTGGTTTCCGAATTCGTTTCTATCATTGTTTTTAATTTGGCTTTCTGAACTAATAGGTGTGATAATGAAAGCGAATATTCATTATGTATTTTAAATAAACAGATTCATAATTTTAGAAGATATACCAATGAAAACATTCTAAAATAAATGAATCTAAATAGTGAGATGCTTCGTATATAAAGAGATAAATGACTTTCATTAATAGGCATCTAAAAGTCCCTTGTTCTACTATACAAAGTGATTAAACCCGTTAATAATGTATAGAAGTTAAAGAACTGCAATACTGTGTACCGCTTAAGGCTGCCACTGAGAAAGTGTTTAGGAGTTAATTCTATAACAATGGAGGAATTTAGGATACAAATGACTGATTAAGATATTCAGAGTTTTTTCACAAGGCCAAAAATGTATTTTCTATTCATAAATATTTGTCTTATTTTTCATCGTCAAACGATCTTAAAAATCGGGTTGATTAACTGCTCATGGTTTAACACTATTGGTTTTTGACCTAATATCTCGGTTCGAAGAATGTTGTTTATACAGCTCATATAAATCTAATTTTTTGAAAGATATTATTTCAAAATAGCTTGAGATTCGCGGATAATTTATTGGGTTGGTGTTTGTTACTAATACCATGAGGGTTGTGGCAAGCTGTGTATCAACCTAACTAACTAGCGCCAGTAGTGTAGTGTAACATCTAACTGGGGATCGATTTTCACAAATTCCCTTAAGCTTTTTATAAATAAAACCCATTTTCTCAAAACAAAAGCCGGATAAAAATTATTCATATGATTAACCAACTAGCAACATAGAGTAGTTTATTAAAGTATACTTTGTTGACCTAGAACGCCAAATATATTACGCCATTTATTTAAAGTCCCAAGTAGCTGAGAAAAATATAAATTATGGTAAGATCTTATCCCTCAAAATAATAGAAAAATAACTCATATAACTTTAACATATTCCGATAAAAGCCTAGTTTACTGTCTTGACCGTACAATTACTTCTTCTATTCAAGTCCTGTAGAATTCAAAAAGTGTTGAAGTCATTGAAGCCTTGTCGTGATACATAGAAAATATCAAACTGCTTTATACTTAAGCAAATGATTACCTAGGATTATCTGTAACAAGAAGCACGCTATGATATTACCCACAGAAAGACAGACATACAACTCACCAATTTCGAAGTAGGCGTTATATTTAAAAGTGTTGATAAACTAGTTCGACGCAGCTGGATGAGACCCTCCTCCACAACATCAAGGTTGAAGTGTGTGGGCAGGGCGTTTTCGGCCGGGAAAGTCACGTGCTCGATTGAAGTAAACGCTTAGGATTTGGCAAACTGCATGTTTTACTGCAGAATATATCACCAGCTATATCAGACTTGAGTGCGAACACTGTGCAACCAATGTCTAAGTTTGATGGTCGTGAAGAACTACGGAAACTTAATACTGGACTATCAAGTCTGCAGTTCTCCTTTTCATCTGAAGAGGAACTGTGAACGTTGAATGCGTTTGTTTAGTAAGAAGATATGAAGGACAAATCTGTAAGTCTACTAAATTCATTGGATTATTCATTTACATTCCAAACGGCCATGGTGACGCGGCTAATGGATAATAACTCGAAAAAGTTTACGTGTTATATTTTATTATTCGTCATGACACTCGAATATGCCAGCCGTTCCACAATACTAGGCACTACATCGAAGAGTACTCCAGAAGTGCAAGTTTTATAGCAGCGTACAAAGTCAGAATATTTTTTACCTTCTAATCATTAGATGCACTAAAATCGCTGTTCTTATCGTCATCTGTCGAAGAAAAACAACTAGCTAAACTGTATGACAAGGCGACTTAAGGGTACTTTCGCAACGTAAGAGACGAAATACAAAAGCGTCACGGAAGAAAACCAGGACATGTATATACCAATTTGAAGTTATAACTTTAATGCTGTTCTAAAATGCAGTGTTCCTTATTAATGAACGTAACCGTAAGTCATACTTTAGGTTGATAGTTGTTTAATAAACTATGGCAGTTAGACAATGTTGTAAATTTGTGTTTATTCAACTACAAAATTGACAGGAAGATTATTTTGGTTCAAAATGGTAACACTGAAGTTTAAGAAAAGTTATTATTGAAATGCTTTTTATGTTCAATAAAGCTTTTAGGTACCATGTACCGGATTCCTAACTTGCACGTGGAACTCGTGAACTAATGAAGTGTATGTTATGAAGGTTTGTTTGATTTTACATACACTTATCAATTAGGACACATTCTTACACAATAATTTATTACCTCTAATTACTTTCGCAGACCTTTGTAAATGACACTAGGACTTTGTACTTACGATGAGAATAAGCAACGAACAGTGCTTGAGCATCTGTGTTATTATTTCCCGGAGTGAAATGTAGTGTTATTTATTGCTAATATTTTTAACCATGTACAATATTTTAATAAGGTCAATTGTAGTCCTCATCTGGTTAGTTATGGAAATAAAGGCGAACATAGGAAACATTCGTAGTTAAGTTGGAGGTAGAAAATAAAGCGTGTAACCAAGGCCAAAGCAAAAAAAGGTTGGTGAGTGCTTAGACCAAAAGTAGGCTATTTGGTGAGCATTTCGACGAAGACTAGACGATTCAACGTCGTTTCGGACATAGAGCGACAAAAAGAGTAAGTTTCACATTACTTCTCCATGAAAAGAGTAAAAGGAGGCTTCTGGGAGCGTTTCCCATTTACTTTTTCTTTGTTTCGTAATGGAAAGTTCCTTTTATTTCTTTATTGTCCCTCTTTATTCTCCCCTTATCAGTTGATTTGGTTATAACCACAGAATATGAAGCCAGCTGATCCGTAGCAGAAACTTAAACCAGCAGTTAATTGAATCCCTCCCTCTACGAAATCGAAAGATTTCAGAGAATGTAAATCATGAATACACATTTAATGTCGCAGCTTAAATTTCAGTCTCTAATTGAAACCATATCATGATAATTATTCAACACAGTGGACGTAAAAATGACCGTCAATGCTAGCGACAACACACTTATTTAACGCGACAACAGTAAGACAACATGTGGACACTATTTTGAATACTTTCAAGGTCGTGTTTACTTTCAGTTTCTTGCTACTGCACTCAATATCCTAGAGAGGCACTAATGTAAGGTAACTATTTTTTTGCCAACCGTGCAGACTTTAAAGCATAATTATTAATCTTATGAATAGTTTCATCACCGAGAAAAAACGGATTTATGGACTTCATTCGCTCAATTCAAGAGAGTTGAACAGAGTTACTAGATCAGATTCTTTGAGGATTAGTGCATATGCTGTCACTCTCTTGTCCAAGCACACATTTAAAATATCACACACCAACATGGCTTCCGAGGCATAGTACCTAGTATTCATAAAATTATATATAAACGGTTATAGACTCCTTTATTTGCTTGACGATCTGTGGAGATAGGCATGACAAATTTATTTTGTAAATCGTTTTTGATGTTACTTGTATTTATTCTGTAATTTTTCACAGCCTGTACATTTATCATTGAAAGATTGTTCATGTTGTTCAAGTGTATGGCCTAGAACACACTTCCTTCCGTCGTGTTACACTCATCTCATGACACACGCATCATGATACACACATCTCTTATTCTCGATTGTTCATGGTTGTGATAACTGAACTCCAAATCACCTACTGTCTACACTTATAGACTGCAGCCAAATTTATATTATATTCTACGTTTGGCTATATCACTGAAAAGACAACAATCTTACTGGAACCATCAATCATCTATAATTGTGGATTCTGGTACCAAACTCAACATGAACACGCAGAAAACCATCTGGATTAAGTAACGCCCCTAATTTTTTATTGTGTTTATAACGTTTAACTGATATATAAACATTACTGTTTGTACTCAATAACTCTGTTACTCTTTTTGAGTTTATATGCTGTTTGGTCCACCACATATCCCCATCGTATTACAAGACTGATATTTGAACGAATAATGTTTTTTTCGATAAATTTTCCTCCGGTTCTACAATTATACATCCAAATAAACAGTCCGAAAAATTGCCAGTTGTCATAATTTTGAGTATTTGGATTATAGTACAAATTAAAAATCTTCGAAATCATGCATTTGGATCAAGACGTATTAGATGAGCACGAACGAAGGTGTTGTATTTGGAATTCAAAACCAAGGATTTAACAAGTACAAAGGAATCGTTAGTTCATGCAATCATCACATTTGACACAACTTTAAATGGCGTCTAAATTTCTGTGATCGATTATACGTCTTCTACTTAGGTTCTTCCTGTTTCATTCCGACATCCTATTGGATAAAGACTCTGTATTATCTACAATGCACTCACTAGTATTAGGATTAAAAACTGAAATTGGAACAGATTCACCTGGTCCGTCGAACTGTATTTGATCAACATGTCATTTGTGTATACTTAAGTCATTGATATCTAGAATTAGCACCATAGACTTGCCAACATTATTCACCACGATCCCTATGGCTAGTCGAAGATCATTCCCATGATAATGTGAAACTTCTGTAGGCTCTAAACACCTCATATTCGACCGAAGAATTCTTGCTTTTAATAGCTCCATAATTAAAACCACATCAGCTGAGGAAATCGCCAAGGCTGAAGAACAAACTGTAAAGATTCATGGTCAATAACAATAGTGAACGTCTCTCAAAATAAATATTAGTGACCTTTGACAGCCCAAAACTCGGCTAAAACTTCGCACTGTAAATAACCATGTTGAACAACAGTAAGTTTGAGTGAAACACAGATTACTGGTCTACTTTCCCGCTCCAAAACCGCATCAGTACTCACTGTTAATGCATTAGTACGAAGTGCAGAATGTACACTAGGAGAGTAAGTTCGAAGAACAGCATCACTTGGAAGAACCTTTAATAGATATCGTGAGCATGACTCTTGTTCTTCACTCCATTTAAATGTCTTTCGAACTACTCTTCTGGGAGACCATAAGGATTTATTCATCTCTTGAGTAAGACTGGGTCACCCTATACTTGA